CATTTGTCTTTGGTTGATTTCCACTGTTGAATGCTCTTCTGTTGAACAACTGATCACAGTTTGTTTACCCAGTTCAGTATTGATGGACACTTGGGTTGTTTCCAGTTTGGGGCTATTACAGACAATGATGTTTGAATAGTTTTGTCTACGTATCTCAGTACACGTAAGGACGTGTTTCTGTTTTGTTTTTGTTTTCTTAACTTACAAATAAAATTGCTGAGATGTGAGGAACGTGAATCTTGGTCCTTAGTAGATGCACCAAACTGTTTTCCAGAATGGTGGGACCCCATTTACACTTCCCCAGCAGTGTATGAGGGTTCCTTTTGCTCCAATCCCTGCCAACGCTTGATATTACCAGATTTCTTAATTTTTATCTGTCTGGTGGGTGGATAGTAGTATCTCATTGTGGTTTTAATTTGCATTTCCCTGATGACTCGTGAGATTGGATATCTTTTCATGTTATATTGGCCATCTGGATTTCCTCTCTTGTGAAGTGCCTGATCGAGGCTTTTGAGCATTTTTCCATTGGGTTGTCTGTTTTTTTCTTATTAATCTATGGGTATTCTTTAGTCCACAGTTCATTTGCTGCAATTATCTTTTCCTACTCTATGGTTCGCACTTTGATGCTCTTATTGAGGTCTAAATTTCTGATTTAAACCTCTAAGCTCTCACCTAAACCTCTGATTTAAAGAACTATCATTCTCGTCTTCACCCCAAACTATGATAAAGCTCTTTATAAAATGCTTTTCAAAATTATTTATGAGTAATTAGTGAGTTGCGATGGAACTGTAATCCATTTAAAAAAAACTTTATTTTTAAAACTTAACAGTTTGAAGTAATTTTAGATTCACAGGAAGTCGTAAAGACAGTACAGAAAAGTCTCATGTGCCATTCATGGGGTTGCAGCTTATGTAAGTTTAGTACCATATCAAAACCAGGCAATTGACATTGGCACACTGTGTGTATAGTGTATGTCATTTTATCACATGCGTAGATTGGTGTAACCACCAGCGCAATCAAAATACAGAAC